GGCTGCACAGAGGACGCTTCACTTGAGGCCTGGCCAAGATCCCACAGCTTTCACCAACCGATACATCGCCTCGTGACTAGGCTTCCAACCTTCCAAACGTAGAACCTTTCCTCTGGAGGACCATTGCATTCGTCGTGGAAAATGCTCTTCCCAGAAGAAAACTCCTACCTCCCTCTTGGCAGCACCAACCAGCTGTATGGTCCCTAACCCCGAATCCCCAACCCCATCTGGCCCCGAACTACCGTCTGACTCAGTTGAACTTGACAAGTTGTTCCAATCACTGTATCAGCGAAACCACAAGAAGGCCGACCACACTGAACACCACCTTCAGAAGGTCCGCGCCTTACCGAAACTACGGATCTAGAGGCCCTTGCTCTTGCTTTGAATCCCAAGAAACAGCGTAGGAAATGCCAGAACCACAAGAGAAACACTGTACAACACAGCTGCGTGCAATGGCTTCTGCATGAAAAATGAACGTTGTTTCATCTAGGGAACGAAGGCAACTACGAAGGAAGCCTTGCTGGTCACCCTGTGCACTTCTGAAAGAAACTGCTTTTTGGCATGGAATGAGCACGGCTTCGTCTATCTGCAGAATGTGGGTGAGTGTGTGTGTGTGTATGTGTGTGTCTACATGTATATATGTATGTATATCATGTGCATAAGCACCTGTATATGCATGCATGGATGGATGGATGGATGGACGGAGGGAGGGATGGAGGGATGGATGGATGTGTGTCTGTCTGTGCATGTATACCTGTATGTATGTGTATATGTGTGTATTTGGATACGCATATAAGTGTATACACGTATATCTGCATATGTGTTTATGTATACATGTGTATGCATATACATATATATATATATGCATGCAAAGGTGCTTGCGTGCCCATGTGTATATGAAGAAGCATATCTGTATGTGCTTCTGCATGCAGACAGACAGATGGACAGACAGCCAGGGAGGCAGACAGGCAGACAGACAGGTAGACACGCAGACAGATATAGATACACATGTACACAACTGCATACGTACATACATGCATACATACATACATACATACAGGTACATACATCTGCGCATCCACACATCTCTACATAAATGTAAATATATATATATATATATATATATATGTGTATATATATACACATATACATATACGTGCATCTGTGTACGTATACCGTGTACATGTGTGCAATTTTATTAGGTACACATGTATATGTAAAAAGTATATGTCTGTACATACACGGATGTATGTATGCATGCAAGTATGTAGGTGTGTATGCTTGTGTGGGTACCGCACAGTCTCGTGCAACATACATCTTCACAGGTCAGTAACCGGGGCTCCCTTCTGACGTAAAGTGAGCACAGAAAGAACTCCCCGACTCTTCACTCTGCCACGTGCTCTCAAAGGGGTCTCACAAACACAACCATTGTGAAAATTTCATGGAAGAGCTCGAGGGTACAGTACATGCCGGGATTCAGGCCTCTTTCTGCATGTATTCACTTGCGTGAAGCCTCTAAGGTGCGGAAGGAAGATATGGAGAGCAAGGCTGCGAGCGATGCTGTCTGCATCGCACTGCTTCCAGAACGCAATCACCCGCCAGAATGTACCGACCCCACTGTGCATACCCTGAAAGCTGTCGCACAGGGAACCAACTGAAAGGATCCTCGATCTGACGCTTCCGCAACTCTGAAGAGACTTGCTGCATACTCTCATTGCAGCGCATTGTAAAGTCTGGCCAAACGCCACAAGCTGAAGGAGTCTGCAATCTGAGCAGGATTATCCTTCCGGCCAGGCTGCATGCGCGGCACGTCGAAGCTGTCGCCACTCTGATCAACGCCTCGACACGCTATCAGCTTCGCCCTACTTCTGAGCCCCGAACCCAGACATCTCTGTGATCACTGCGGCCACCGGCATCAGCACAATGCCAACCCCAAGCATGCAGGAAGCTGAGGGAACAGACGAGGGTTGCCCGCATGGGAGATTCCGCCGAAGGAGCAGGGTCCCCTTGCTTTCGCCCTATGACCTATAAGCTGCAGCAACAGTACAGTCCTTAGCTCACACAGAGGTTTCATCGCTACCAGTCGAAGAGCAGCACCGCTCTGCAGGCATGTTGCAGCAAGCTGCATACAAAATCCTAAAAACCCCGGCTCTTGCGAAAGAACTTGTTACACCTAGGCCGGAGTCGCATGAGCAGGACTCAAGCGAGGCAAAATAGGAACCACTGGCCCCAAGGACCACATGAAAGGGCCCCATATGGCAGATCTTCCACGTGTTCTCTCAACACTGCACCTTTGCAAAGCCCGACTGATCTCCGCTCTGGATTGGCTCATGGTCTGTGGCCAGAGCTCTTGGCAAAGGGTGAAACACCCTTTGCTGCTGCTCTTCTCTACTTGTGCTAAAGCGAACCTGACCATTCTGTACCATGGCGAGTCCTAGTACAGTCACTGAGACCCAACGCCAACGCCTAACGGCAACTACGGTACCACAACCCTTGAACTAATGTCAGAGAGCTTGTTGTCTCGTGGGCACCCACGGCGAAGACGACGACGCTGACGAGGGCGACGAAGACCAGTTCTGATGCGGATGGTGCTACGGCTATTGCCCGCGACATCGCCTTTGCGACTGCTACTTAGACTTAAGCTGACACCACTTCCGTGCATGACACTGTGAGCACCACCATGACCATGCCAGACCCCAGCGGATGTTGAGCACTGAGCGTACAGCTCTGGAGCCTGCTGGTGCACCCAGGTTACTGCAGTATGAAAGCTTGGGTCTTCTTAGTGTGTCAGGTTCCGGTAGAAGGGCGCAAGCTTCGACCTGGGATTTTTTCCTGGGGCCCTGAGCGTGCAACCCAATCAGT